ATGATTTCTGAAGGATCATGTGACACTGAAGACTGGAGTAATTATGCTGAAAATTCAGCTTTGCCATCATCAGAATAAATTACATTTAAAATAATTTAAAATAGAAAACAGTTATTCCAAATTGTAATAATGTTTCACATTACTGTTTTTTTTTAAATTAAATACAGCATTGGTGAGCATGAGAGACTTCTTTAAAAAATAAAAATAAATTAAAAATAAATAATCTTTCTGACCTCAAATTTAAATGCTACTATGTATTCACAGGTGCAAGGACCCTTTTATATTGTGTGAGAAAAAAAGTGTTATGATTAAAATGTTATTTAGAAAAAAAAAAAAAAATTTTTAACCACTAATGAACTAATGTTAGATATATAAACCTGAGAAGAAATGTGTAAAGTGCAAACATCCATTCTTTTCTAGTCCATTACGCCATTCCCACTTGTCCCTGAATGTTTGGTTTCTCTGAAATATAAGGATTCAGAGAGGAGTTTGAACTTGAGTTGCTAAGAGTACCGATTTCAAGTTGGATACCATCATTGCAGTGTGATGGTATCCATCTGTTTGCTTTGTCTACTTGCTTTTATATCTGTGTGTGCTTTTTTGTGTATGTATTTGCAGGAGGCCAGTAAGTTGAACAGTATGTTGTGTCAAACACTTGTGTTCTAACAAAATATTTTTTTAACCACTAATGAAGTAATGTTAGATATATAAACCTGAGAATAAATCTGTAAAGTGCAAACAGTTCTAGTCCATTACGCCATTCCCACTTGTCCCTGAATGTTTGGTTTCTCTGAAATATAAGGACTCAGAGAGGAGTTTGAACTTGAGTTGCTAAGAGTACCAATTTCAAGTTGGATACCATCATTGCAGTGTGATGATATCCATCTGTTTGCTTTGTCTACTTGCTTTTAACTCTGTGTGTGCTTTTTTGTGTATGTATTTGCAGGAGGCCAGTAAGTTGAACAGTATGTTGTGTCAAACACTTGTGTTCTGCTACCTGTGGGCACTGGGGGGAAATTTGATTGACAGCCACTGGGACACATTTGACACCTTCGTCAGGCAGCAGTCTGAGGGCAACAATGATGCAAAGGTACATTTTATATACACTAAAATAGACCTCAGATCATTTTGATTAAACTGTGAAGTATGCTTACATTTATCGATAAATGTATCAATAAACATAATGGGGATTTTCTGTTTCATTCCCTTAATTTATGACACTCATATTGGCTTCCTAATAGTATTTTGTTCAAGAAAAGACATCATTATGTGCTACAGAATTTAGAGGAACATGTTTGGTTCTTTACAGAACTACAGCCATAATGTTTTCATATTTTTATATAATCCAAAAGGTAATGATTTATTTTTTTTGCCTATTCCATCATAATGCTTTCTCAGTGGCCATACAGTAGCTATTCCTGACAAATAACTGATGTGGAACACTGAAGACACTGCAAACCTTCTCTAGGCTTTGACCCTGAAAAGAGCACATTAACCTGACTGAGAGGTCATCGTAAATTACTGGTTCAATTCTTTTTATAAAGACAACTATGTCTTCTCTGTCTCCCGTGTCTGTTACATTCGTAAATATGACTGTGGAATATTTAATGAGAAATAGATTGAAGGAAAACAATATGTCCCAGCCATCTGTATAAGGATAAAGGGAAGGTGTGGTATTTATTTC